TATGGGTTTCGAGCTCAGATTATGGTGTTTTTTGAAGTTATGGCGGAACCCCGACCCGATAGGGTTTAATGGACCTCGGATTCGGATTCAGCGACCCCAAAAACATATAATAAACATGGTCTGATCCCCAGGCCAAAGAAATTTTTTTTTTTTGTGTGGCTGTGTTATTCGATTACTGCTAATCTTAAAAAACGCTTCAACGCAATAATATTCATCTTCAGGGTGTCGGATATAATACACAATAATGTAACACACAGTAATTCCGTATCTTCTATAAACCAAGCTTGTCGCTCTTAACGTCGTTAGTGTATATCTATATAATCATATAATTACACAGTCACACCAAAAAAATTTATTTTTCTAATTTGGGAGTCTGACTATGTTCACTATATGTTTTTGGGGTCGCTGAATCCGAATCCGAGGTCTATTTAACCCCATCACATCAGGATTTTACCATAATCTCAAAAAAAACCCATAATTTAAGCTATTAAACATATAACCCTAAGAATGAAGTTGTAATCTGAAAACCCAAGCTCTTAAACCCCATAACCCACTTAATCCCATAACTCAATGTACATCAACTCCAATAACCACATATGTCAGACATTTAACTTGATATGCACAATTTTTGTTTTGTCTCAAGCACCCGAAACATACTGTTGTGTCCTAAGAACACCTTCACTCTAAAAGTCTATATTTTTATGTTTATTCAACTAATGTTAGTTTTTCAAATCATTGTACCGTCGGCATTGGCGTTACCCGATGTACCGCGGGGAGGTTGCACGATCGGGTTTTATATATTATATAGCCTTTAAAAGGGCTGTTTCGTAAAGCTGCGGATAAAAGGCATATTATAATATTATAATATGCCTTTAATAATACATTGAGGTATGGAATTAAGTGGGTTATGGAGTTATGGGGTTTAAGAGCTTGGGTTTTCAGATTACAACTTCATTCATAGAGTTGTATGCGTTTAATAGCTTAAATTATGGGTTTTTTGAGGTTATGGCAAAATCCTGATGTGATGGGGTTAAATAGACTTCGGATTCGAATTCAGCTACTCCAAAAACATATAGTAAACATGGTCAGATCCCCAGATCAGAAAAAAATGTTTTGTGTGTGGCTGTGTTATCTATATGTATTTACCTCATTTTTGATGTGTTATTTGTCACTTCTGGCGTGTAATTGGAATTCATGGAACGTTACGCTTTGCTCTTGCTAATTTTTTGGTGACAATTTGATGAGTATATAAAATTATAAAAATAAGTAAATGTAAAGAAATATAAAATCTCTCTTTTCATATTAAAAAAAAAAAACAGTTTATGCAAATTTGTATTTTATTTAATTTACGTGTCTTAATCGTCACCAAAAGAGCTGACCGCTTGGTCTTGGCTTGTAATCGAGAGCTTTGCAGCTTGCCGCTGTCGGGCGAGCGCAATTAGTAAAGATGAGACGTTCGTACCTCTAGTTGAGGAGCGTTCCTCATATGCCATATGTGGCACACAAGAGGCTCGTTACCATAGTCCATTCACCGATCCATCACGTGTACTACGCCGGCACAGTTGTGCCGATAAGAGTGCGGGCGCGCGTGCGGCCTAGCATTCTCGCAGCCGAGTTCAGCAGGATACGCGATCTACCAAGACCGACTAGCCGATCCTATTTGGAGGAGTACTTAAATTCCCGACCCAACATAGTAAGTCTCGCAACTGACTTAACATCATATATTCGGCTAATGTCTCTCTCTCTCTCTCTCTCTCTCTCTCTCTCTCTCTCTCTTTTGTTTGGAACTAGCTCGACATCACGCAACGTCGTCAACATTCATCATTTCTGGAATCATCATCATTCTTGTTGATATTGTTATTGTCATCATTTTTTACGTTTATTTGCGTCGACGAAAACATGTGTGACGAAGTCTCTTTTATATTTTATTTATCTATACCAGATAGATTTCAAAAAGAGTTTTTATAGCTAAAGATTTTTGTTTTTATTCATTAAATAAAAAACAATAGTTTCAAAATAATTGTTGTTAATCTTATGATTTCAGCAAAAGATCGATAGCATAACATTTTACATATATCTTTTTGTAGTTTTTCGATGATGAAGCGAGGGAGATTCGCGCGAGAGTGGATTCCCTTCTTCGACGCGTCCACGTATTTGTGCCGAGGGCACTGGCAAGGTATTCGATGAAGAAAACATAATGCGACTAATGAAATATTGTAATGTGGAAATAATTTAAAGTTTTGGTAAATATTGACAATAATGGATTATTCTCTGATCAACTTGGCTTCACATATGTTATCAAGAACATTGTCCTGAGTGACATGCAAAAAATTTTAGCCGTCGTTTGTAGTTTATTCAAAAATTAATAACAAAAAAAGTTTTATAAGTAAACTCTTATTTTTCAATTCCATGTACATTTTCTTCGTGTTGTAAGTGTGTAGGCAAGATGGGCTACGCTCCCCTCTGCTCTCTTCTTCGTGTTTTGCGTGTATATTACTTTGTATTTATGTTGGAAACATAAATACAAAGTAATATATTATATTTCTTATATTTCTTCTGAATCCACTATTTATTGCTGTCATTGTTTAATTCTGTATTTGTGAATTGGACTATTTCATTCAATGAATAGTGGATTCAGAAGAAATAGTCCAATATAAACATAAAATAATATACACGCAAAACACGAAGAGGGGAGCAGGGGGAAGGAACAAAGTCTCTCCTTCTGCGGGGGGCGTAGCCCACTCTGCCTACACACTTAGGCTAATATTACATTTGTCGTACAACAACGATTTTAAGTATGTTGATTGGTTATCAGATAAAGTTTTATAAAGAATTCTATTTGATAGCCAATCAATATATTTAAAATCTTTGTCGTACGACAAATGTAATACTAGCCTTACAACACGAAGAAACTGTACATGGAATCGAAAAAGGTAATTATGCAGTTATACGGACTATTTTCCGATCTCAACAATTTTGACATATGTTATCAAGGTCACCTCTCTGAATAATAATATGAAGGTTTTATCCGTCGCTCATTGTTTATAAAAAAGTTATGAACAAAAAAAGTTTGATGA